CGTGCTCCCCTCGTGGCGGCCGCTCCCGGCTACAATCTTCGAGAAGGGAGCATGGGACAGCAGCCACAGGGCGCCAGTCCTGCGGGCCCCAGGCCAGCGACATGCACCGATGAATTAACAGGCCATTCACATGGTGAACTTGACACAGAGCAGCATCCTGCCTCGTAGGACGAAACAAGGACACGGACACACCTCACAGGCCACGGCTTCGGGAGAATCGGCCGCTGAAGAGAAGGCCCTGCCACTCCTGTTCCCATGAGGGCCAAGAAGAGACAAAGGGACACGGCGACACAAGTCCGGACAGAGGGGACCTGCGGTTGACTGTGACTGGGGCTCCCGCTCTGGGCAAGCGGACCAGAGCTCCCCGGAGCTGAGCACGGCTGGTGCTGAGCTCACCGCGAGCGCCTTCCGTCTCGGAGCATGGGGCCAGCTCTGACAGGGCCTGCCCACAGCGAGAGCATAATAGGGCCCTGCATGCTCTGGGCCTCCACCTGATGGCCCTGGAGTGAGTGGGGCCGGGCAGCCCCAGGGCCACCTGCTCCATGGTCAGGTGGTCACAGGGACAGGCCATCATGCCTGCACAAGGTGACTCAGGGAGGGGAGCCAGCTCAGCCCATCAGGGACCCGATGACCACCACTAACTACCCACACTGCCTGGGGGCCCCAGGAAGGGAGGGTGGGGCTGCCTAGGTCCCACAGCTCAGAAGCAGCAAGTCTGGGGTTCCCTTCCAGACCGGATCCCAGATGCCAAACCAGACTGGCCAGGGTCCCTGCTCCCAGTGCCAGGCCCTCACTCGGCTCCCCCCAGGCCACGGGCGACAGAGCCACCAGGAGGACCTGCATAGCTCAGGTCAGGAGCAGCAGCAGGGGGCCTCCCCAAGACGAGGGAGGGTGTGGGGCCAGGATACACAGACCATGCGCTGCCCGGTCGGCCAGCCACAGGGACATGAACGTGTCTTGCACGGGCCCATGCCAGCCCTCCACGGCCCAGGGACCCCAGTGCCCCAGGCCCTCCAGGCGGCCCCTGGCCTCCCAGGGATCCACAGCCCACACAGACCCCGCCAGCTTCTCAGAGCCCAGAACCCTCGCTGGACTCAGGTGCAGGGAGCCAGGCAGGTCCCTCCCCAGGCCCTGCACCAATGGCGGGAGAAGGCGCCTGCCCAACACCCCGATGTCCACCCGCCAGTGCCAGCCGGGGAGGGGCGCGGCGTATCCAGATCATCCTCAACACGAGGGACCCTGCGCCAGGCACTTTGCAACACGGACCTCATTCAGCTGTTTGAAAAACCCTACAAGCATTGCTGTCTTTTTGCAGAAGGGAAAATGAGGCTCAGAGACACAAAGTTCAACCTGCCCAAGGCCACTCAGCTGGTCAGTGGCGGGTGAGACCGGGACCCAAGGCTGCTGCCTGGGCACAAGGAACAGCAGGGCAGGGGTGCAGCCATGGACGGGGAGCGAACGGAGTGGGGCTGATGTCAGGGGCACAGAGACCACTCAGACAGGCGTCGCACAGACACACGGACATCAGCACACGCACAGCCTGCTTGAGACCCAGAAGCCCCTCCAATCCCCCAACCCAGGCCACGTCTGCAGGGTGGTCAGCACTGCTCGAGGCGCAGAAGGCCTGTGACAGGAGCAGGACCCTGGGTCGCAGGGCCCAAGTCCCCAGGAACACGCTGGTTCGCTCCTCTGCCGGCCTCGAGGAGGCATGGCCAGCCCCGGCAAGAGGTCAACTTCTCCCTCCCCAAAAACGGGGGGACCCTTCCTACAGGAGATCCCAACTTCAACAGAAACCGAAAACCTGTATTCCGTTTTGTTTATAAAATAAGAGGCTGTCATCGGGATACCCGTGCGGAGGAGGGCCAGGCGCGGCACTGCCATGGGTGGGGGGAAGGTGCACGGTGGGGGGCTTTGACTCCCCTCGTTTGGCGGGGGTAACGGAGTCTCAGGGTGGCTGGTTTTCAGCTTTTTTGGGGGGAGGCTATCTTACAGAACCTCAGCATCTCCCTCATTGGCCACGTGCACCAACATTCCCCCAGAAGCGCTCTCCAAGCCAAAGGTGGATTCGACCTCCTCCAGCCCCAGCCCCGCGGAGCCCTCCACCTCCCAGCTGAGCTGGACGGAGCCCCAGCAAGGCCGTCAGGAGCTCCCTGCCCAGCCCTGCGACCCGACCCCCGCCCGGCTGTAAGATGAGCCGGCTCACCCAGCATCACTCGCCCGACTAACACCAGCCCGTGCGTCGGCACGGCCCCTGGGCTGACCCCGGGATGAACCGGGCTTTGCGCTGGGCTGGGGCCTGCCTGGAAGGCTCCGCCAGCCGCCTAGACCCAGCTTCCCGCGGCGTCCCGACCCCGGAGCTCCAGACGAGCCGAGGGCCACGGGGGGGGGGGGGGGGGGGGGGGGGGGTGTCCCTCAGCCGCCTGCCAAGAACGCAGCACTCACCTCCCAGCCCCTGACCGGGCAGCCGAGCGCCCAGACCACTGCGATTCTAGACACAGGAAGGTCTCCTGGGGGCCCAGGCCCAACCACGACCACAGCGGCCACCGCCTGCCCTCCTCCTCGCCCGCCCTGAGGCTCCCGGCCCTCTCCACGCTGCCCCATGCTCTCTGGGCCTGTCCACTCTCCCCCTAGCCTTGGGAACCGGGTCATTTCCAGGAACACACCAGCTCTCTTGCCTGTAGGCGTGGACGTGCTGTTCCCTGGGCCCAAAACTCCCCCATGTGTCTCCTGGCTCACTCCAACCCAGGCTCAGTTTAAATGACACCCCCTCCAGGAAGCCCTCCTGATCCTCCTGGGCAGGGTAGGGGCCTCTTCCACTATGTACCCCGAGAACACTCACCATGCCGCAGGGCGCCCCCAGCCCACTCGTGTGAGGCTGCCAAGGTCTGTGGGCTCCTGAGGGCAGGAACCATAACTGGTTCACTGAGCATCCCCGGGGCCTGGCACACAGCAGATGCCAAATAAAGACTTACTAAAGGGATGGATGGGGTGGGGACAGGAGAGCTAGTAACGGGTGAATGCAGGCTGAATACAGGTGAACACAGGATTCACCATAGTCCTTAAGAAGCAGCTGAGCAAGCACCAAGTTTCAAAGAGACCCCAAGGCACTGACAAGCTGTGCAACCCCAAGCAGGTTAAGCAACCTCTCTGAGCCCTTACTTCTTCTTCTGCAAAGAGATGTCACATATGAAGGAAGTGGCTAGGAGGCAGTGGAAGTGGACAAGTGACCATGAAGCTGGCCTTTCACATCCGTCCCCACAGGTGGTGAGGTACAGGTGGCCCAGAGCTAGCAGACCTGGGTTCAAGTCCTGGCTGCACGACTTACACCTGGGTGGGGCCTCAGGCATCTGACTGAACTCCTCTGGGTCTCAGTCCTTGTCCTCAGAAAGGGGACGGTGCCCTCGGCTTCGCCTCCCTTCACACGTCACACAGAGCACTCACCAGGGGGACAGCTATGCCCCACTGCCCCCTGTGCCAGGAGTAGACAGACAAACAAGGCTGGGCCCTGCCCAGGGACTCCCACACCAGAATCAGACAGAGAGATGGCCTTCTCCAGGATCCCAAAGGGACCGGTCAGTCAGTGACACAGCGCAAGGTGGAGGGTACTCTATCCTGGGGTAGACATCAAGGAGGGCTTCCTGCAAGAGGCACCACATGCCTCCCTCCAGCTATGACACGGTAGACTCCCACAGCCCCCAAACCAACCCCCAGGCACTCTGTCCTCAGTTGGGAGATGGGACAGACCGACATACATGCCACCCCGAGGGCAGCAACCCCAGCCATGGGCCCACGAGGACGGAAGACAGAGGCAGGAGCCCTGGCACCAGGAGGCGCAGGGTCCAAGGCCAGCCCCCCGTCCGGGCCGAGGCCCGCAGTGTTCTCATCTGGAAAATGGGCTAATAAACCCTCGAGACAGGGCCGCTGTAGGATAACCGGGCGAGCGGAGCATGGGCGGCTGCGGTGGGCAGGCCCAGACACGGGCCCCGGCACACGGCAGGCGCTTACAACCAGGAGCCTCTGTGGGGGTCACCTCTCTTTCCATTTCTGTCACCCCGGCCCGAGTGACGGTGCTCAGCACCACTGGCTGGAACCCACACAGTCCCCCCACCGCGACCCCTGAAACCCCCACCTCACTGCACTGGCCCCTGCTGGGTAGCCGCCTCGCTGTGTGGCCCAGCCCCAGCCCCTCACCCTCTCTGGGCGCCCACTTCCTCATCCATGAGAGACTGGTCTCCAGCCCCTCCCTCGCTGACAGGCGACAGGCAGACGCCGAAGTGGGGGCGAGGCCTGACCGCAGGCTCCAAGAACCCAGGCCCCACCCGCAGGGGCCCTAGCAGGGGTCTGCAGCAGCGCCTCACTGGGGAGGGCAGTCCTGAGCCCCTCTCCTCCTCCCCTTCACCCGAAAGCCAGACTCCAGAAGCATCTTTAACCAGCTCCACGCCCAGGCTGGTGGAGTCCCCTCAGGGATCAGAGAGCCTGGGCTGCTTGTCTGAGGTTGCACAGCTCCGAGTGGCAGAACGGGGCGCCCTCGAGGGTGTACTTTACCAGTGTACCATCGCCCCCTAGTCTGAACCTCGGAGAGTGGCCTTCACTATCCAGTAAACTGGACACCGGTGCCCTGTCTCCTGCTTAGTATCCCCAGCAGGTCACTTGGCCTCTCAGAGCCCCGGGTTCCTCCTCTGAACACTGAGCATGAGAACGCCCAGCCCAGAAGGCCACGAGAACGCACGATGCCCCAAAGCCGAGTGCCCGGTGCAGGCGGATGAGTGATGAATGTGCAGCCCCCCGGCCACTGTCTGCCCACTGCAGGGCAGGCCCAGGAGCCAGGCCTACCCCGGCCAAAGGGAGAGGGGCGCCAGCCAGCGTGGCCCAAGGCTCCCCCTTCCCGCCCTCTCCTCTCCTCCGGCCAGGCCCTCGGAGGGCACAGGGCCTGGGACCCTTGGCTGCCCCTGTCCACGATCCGGCTGCAGTATGCCCACCCAGCTGGCAAGCGTCCTCACCTGCCTCCGCCTCACCCCCTTCCTTCCGGCCCCGAGGACAGCAGCGGCTTGGGTGCAAATCCGGCCTTACTCTGAAGCCGCCTGACCTCGTAAGACGGGTAGGTCACAGGACCACGTGGGCCCAGAGTAATGTCACCCTGCCCCAACGTCACGACCTCAGCCGGCACCCTGGGCAGCCGTGGGAGGGACCCCTCATCTCCCCACGGGGCAGCCGGGCACACGGAGAGGGAGGTGCAGGCGGGGCCTGGCCCCCAGGCTCTGACACCCGGTCCTGTGACAGGCTGGCAGGATGTTGGGAAACCCACGAGCACGCATTTCGACACCGCCGGCCGCGTCAGCGACGGGTTTCGACACGCGGCAGCACCCGGGCAAGGGCCACTGCCATCGTGTGTGCTGCCCGCCCGCCTGCCACGTGGGGAGAGGCCAGCCTGGGCACAGCACCCCTAGCCCCTCAGCCCCCAGCCTGCAGACGGCCCTCGTTCCCAGAGCATGGAGACAAGCGTGGGGGCCCCTTGAGGGGCAAAAGCCACCCGCAGCCTGCTTCCCACAGCCCGGGCCCGGCTGCAGGCTGCAGGCTCCAGGACCAGCGGGGACCGCCCTGCGTGAGCCTCCGTGCACAGCTGTGCACCAGGACGAGGTCCTCCGCGGACCAGACTGGTCGGCCGGGGCGAAGTTGGGGAGAGGGTATTCTGGAAAGAGAAAGTGCCCATGGGGCAGCCCTCCTGCCCGGCACCGGGAGGCGCGGTAAGTGGCAAGACCCCCAGGCCCAGGCTGCCCCCTCGTGGTCGTCCCCACGGCAGCCAGCCGGGCAGAGCTGGCACACCCACCCCTCCCAGGCCAGCTGAGCCCAGGGGGCTGCTTGTGGCCTGCATGCCTTCCCTGACTTTTAACCAAAAACAAGACTGGGGCCGGGGACGGCCACTGCCACTCAAGGCCACCTTGTGCTCCAGGGACAAGGTCCCACTGATCATGACAGCAGCCCCAGCCCACAGAGGAGGAAACCAAGGCCCAAGGAGGGCCAGCGACTCGCCCCAGGGCACACCTCGAGGACACCCTTGGGTGGGGGCAGACGACTCTCCTTACTGTCCCCACATCAGGAGACCAAGGGGCACTCTGGCTGCATCCCAGGGAGTCAGGCAATGGGGTGCCCCCTCCCGCCGTGCCCACCAGCCCTGGAGCCCTGCCCCCAGCATCCCACCAGGTCTGTAAACCCAGCAAGATTCCGGAACCTCAGAGGACTTTGCTTGGCACGCTGGGTGCTGTGAACACCCAGCCCATCAGTTCGGGAGACTCGATTTGGGGATCTGGTGTGAGCTCACACATGGAGTGCCTGTGCACGCACACGTGTATGTCTGTGACTGCATAAACGTGTGTAAGGTTTCAGGTTAAAATGGGCCTTAAACCGGGAGGAGGGGGTATCCCAACTCAGCCTCGCCCCCCACGCCTCCAAACCACGAGGCTGACGGAGACGGCAAGGCAGCTTCGGGACAGCTGGGAAGGGACGGTCCCGAGGTCACTCAGCCAGAGAGGGACCCAGCCACCCCAGGCTGGACCTCGAACTCAGGCCCATGACGCCCAAACCCAGGGAGCACCCTGGGCGGGGCCAGGCGCATGCGACGCTCACAGGGAGGGGGCCCAAAAAGGCCCTCAGAGGTGTGGCAGTCATCGCCCATCACACTAAGACAACACACACACACGTGTGCACCACCCACAGAAGGACACGCCTGACTGCTCACCTAAAGCAAGACAGCCAGCTCTCCAGAACCTTCTGCTGCTCGGGCTTTTTCACCCCACAGGGTGCATCTCTACCGCAGCAAAGCGCAGGGAGGCCCCATGGCGGAGGCTGCCTGGCCCCGGGAGGGAGACCCCAGGCCCTCAGGGGCGCCCTCACCAGGGCCCTGGGACAGCAGGAGCAAGAGCATCGCCATTCTTCCCGGAGCGGCTGCGCCTCCTTCTGGGGCCGGGTCACGCCCGTCCAGCCCTGAGCGGTCTCTGCTGAGCCCCTGGGGCCCCGGGGTAGTGGGAGCCAGGAGCTGGCTGGTGGGCACACGTGGGCGCCTCCCCCTGCACCGGGAGAGGGCTCTCCAGGGACAGGGGCTCGCGGAGCCAAGGCCCAGAAAGAGATGTTGTTCTAAGGCCACCGCCCCACCTGCTTATCTCAGGCAGGTGACGATGGAGGGAACAAGCACGCAGCAACTCTAGAGTGAGAAGAAAGATTCAACAGGGGCCGCTGTTCCCCCAGCTGAGGGCCTGGGGCTCCCTCATGCCCGGGACCCCTTGGCTCAAGCCAGGAAGACCCCCTACCCTCGCCCTTCTGACAGTCGAATCGAGAGTCCCAAGGGCGCTGAGGAGATGCCAGGCCCACACCCGCTGCAGCCAGGCTCGCGGGCACACGGATGCCAGGGGCCCTTTCCGGGCAGCCCCGGCCTGGAGCAGAGCCACACAGGCTGGCACCTCCAAGGAGGGCTGAGCGGGCTGCAAAAGGAACAGGGCGGTGTTTGTTTAATAACAAATTACCCCGAGCAGGCGGGGCGCGCCTTATCGGTGAGGATCTCCAGCAGGCCGATCCCATCGACTGAAGTCAGGGAACCCTGGGAACCATTAGCTTAATGAGCAGTTCCTATGGGGTCAGCAAAACGGCTGGCTGAGCCGGAGCCCGGGAACTAGGCTGGCAGCCGGAGCCAGGCTGGGCGGGTCCTCGGGCGAGGCCCATTGAGGGAGAGGAACCCGGAGGTGCCAAGGTGCCGCCACAGGACAGCACAGGCTCCACCCCTCGCACCTCTCCACCTGCGGGCACGTCTCTGGGCCCCCACGTGCCCACTGCACAGGTGGGCAAGTTGAGGTCTGGGAGGCGGCCCTCAAGGCCAACTGAATACCCAGGGCACACCTCAGAGGCCCACCGCACCCTCCCCTCCCCGGCGCGGCCCTAACAGCTTGGCAAAGGGGCTAACAGCCGCCTGGGTTCACGTCCCGTCTCCCGGCGGCTGGTTCCTTGACTGCTCTACGCCATGCGCCCACCAAGGCCCGAGACCACTGCCCAGCTGCCCCCTCCAAGAAGCACAGCATCCAAAGCCACACAGGAGCTGGCATTTAGGGGGCAGGGGGCAGTCCCTGGTCCCAGGCTGCTGCATGGCCTTGGGTGAGGGATCCACCTCTCTGGGCCTCAGGTCCCCACAGCATGTGGACAGTCCCTCTGGGCCCTTCAGAGCCTGACACCGTATTTCCAGGTGCACCTTCTGGAAGCAGGAAAACCAGGCAGCTGGAGACAGATTCCCCAGCCCCACCCAGCTCCTCCTGAGGAGGCCCAAGCCCATTGGTGGGAGGAGGCTTCTCCCCACCCTCCCACTGCTGGGCCCTGCCACAATGGCCCCAGGCCGGCCTCATGCAGCCCATGGGGGCTCAGGGCCGGGGGCAGCTGCGGCTGGTGCTGGGGAGGGGGCTGCTTCCACTTCCTCTGGGAGCCCGCCACGGCCGGGCGGCCCTGCCCTGACACGGAGGTAACAGGTTCCAGATGTGTGGCCAGGGGAAGACAGGAGCAGCCCGCACCCTGCTGAGGAAGCCGGAGACGGCCTGATAATGTGGAATTCCTGAGCCCGTGCCAAGGCCCGGGGACCCGCGCGGGGGCGGCGAGCAGTGCTCAGAGAGGAGGGGCCGCTGCCCATGCCCATGCGTGTGCCGGAGACCACCCAGGCAGCAACGATGCTGGGGACACCCCGAGGACCACAGTCCCTGCCCTGGCCGCCTCCCCGCCGGGGCCCCGGCATCTCGGAGCCTCAGTCTCCCATCTGTGACCGGGCACAGCAGCTCCTCCAAGGCTGCTGCTGCTGCACGCAGGACCTGGTCTGAGAGACGCTGACCAGTGGCTACGGCACCCTGCAGAAAGGAAGAGGTGCGAGCAGGCGCCAAACAAGATCCCAGCCATAAGGCTCCCACCAAGTCAGAGCGACTCTCCTAGAGGCCGCTCGCCGGACGCCCGACCCCCAACCGACAAGCTCATGCCAAGGGGCCAGCTTCATCACTGCCGGGTGTTTGTGTGCGTCTCCCCCCCAGCCAAGCCCCTCAGCGTGGGACCTCTCCCGGGAGGGACGGATGAAAGGGTGGGGGCTCTGGTGAATGGAGGGGGTATTTGGGGGGGTTCTTTCTGCCCAACGTGTCTTCCCTTCCATCAGTGGAACATTCCAAGTGTGCCTCCATGAGTCCACCGGGCCCCTCGGAGCTACCCCTGGCCACGGTTTACAGCCACCAAGGACACACATGAAACCGGTCCAGCTGTCCCTTCCCAGGCCCACTGAGGGACAGCCAGGGCCTCAGTCCATACAAACACACACACACCCCCAGCACAAGCCCCTGGGCCCGGCATTCCACCTCATCCAGCCAGCACAGCTAAGGCTGGAGGGAAGAGAGCTGGGCCTGGCCACACAAAGCACCAGGGCACACCGTCCACACTGAGGCTACACGGGCAAACCCAGAGATGAGCCAGGAACACTTGGGGCTCACGATGGAACGTGGGGTGCAGCTGATTCTCTTGGGAGCAGATGTACCAGCCCAATTCGTCCACGGCGGCAGGGTCGGCCCGTGCTCCAAGCACATGGGGGCCCCTGGACCCAAATGCCTCCTTGGCTCAGCCACTTGGGCACCACTGCCCGCCAGGGGAAACAGCAGACGGGGCAGAGGGGTTTCAGCCAGACACTGGCAGGCTATTAGGGTGTGATCCTGAGTCTCCATCTCTCCATCTTTAAAACGGGGTTCTCGGGAGGACCCTGCGAGAGGGCGCACGTCGGGTGCTCTCCGAGGCCTGGTGCGCGGTCATCCTGATCAGCGCTGCCTCTGCCCCAAGAGCTGAGCGGGCCCCGCCTCCTCCCTCCCCACATCAGGACCACGGCTACAGTCCCCACCCAAAACTTCCCAGCCTTTACCAGATGCTGGGGGGCGGCCCCTGCGTGCAGAGTGACCTTGGACAGGGAACAGCCCTCTCCAGCCTCAGTTTCCTCATCTGTAAGAGGGAGGGTGGGTGGGAGGGGGGAGGGATCAGACATCCTCATCTATAATCTTCAAAAAGCAGGAATGACAAGCCAGGGCCACAAGGCCAGGCCCAGCCTTGGACACTTGGAGCCCATACTCCCGGCTCCTCCCTGCCAAGTCACCAAAGCAGGGGCCCAGCTGAGTCCCAGACAGTCC